CGACTAAGTCTAACAAGTCTAACTAACAAGTCTGTAACAGTACAGCAGTTTTACTTGAGTTGAACGCATTTTGATAAAGTAAGCGCGGGGGAAACAGTTCCTCCCACAGTTCAACGCGCTTGAAAACATTCATACAGTCCACTTTGTTATTATTAAAAATAAACCATTTGAAACCTCTCCAACACGACGACATCGCATCACTCCAATCCGACCTACAACAATTCGGGCGCGAACATTGGTCCTTCGAGCCGGATCGTGGATTGAGAGTACACTCGATTGCAAAGAGTGTGATACGGGGACAGTCGCCGTATCGTGTGACCCATCACGTTCGTGAACGAGAGAGGATAACTGCCAGTGTGGCAGTATACCTACGAGGCGACAGGCGCTTCATTCAGCAACCTACGAGGCGACAGACGCTTCATTCAGCTACCAAGGAGGCGACAGGCGCTTCGTGCAGCTACCCAGGAAGCGACAGCCGCTTCATCCAGTGGACCAGGAAGTGACAGACGCTTCTACGAGTCCAGCTCACCAAGGAGCACTCCAAGGGCACGACAACAGGACCACCGATTCCTGGAGAATTGCAGAGGCCGTCTAAGCGAGTCCTGTGCAGATTCTTGTCTACGTCCGGTGAGTCGAGTTTTCATTTACTTCTCATTTTGCGCTGAACAATGGCCACCCCACGAGAGGATACTTTGAATAAGTTAGTCGAGGAACGCGGTCGCGTTAAATCGTCGCTCACGCGATTTAAGACATGTTTCGAGACGCAGCGAGCAACCACCGGGGCTGCTGCATTGGAGGAACGGTTGCACAGAAATCTCCATTTACTCGATAGATTTGAGTCGATTCAGGATCGCATCGATGCGATCACCGCCGGGACACCGGAAGAACACACGCAAAATCAAATTCGCGAGGCGTTCGAAAACGCGTATTTCGATATCATAGGCGCGGTTCGCGAACATGTTTCGGCTAAGCGTGCTCCGGTTCCGAATCCGAGCTCTACCGCGCAACAGACGTTTCGTGTAGATGCTGCATCACCCACAGCCTCCGTAGCGGCACCCTCGGTTAGATTGCCGTCAGTTCCGTTGCCCAGTTTTCACGGGACGGTCGGAGAATGGGTCTATTTTCGAGACAGCTTCGAATCATTGATAAACCAAAATACCGTGTTAAGCAATATCGAACGGTTTCACTATTTGAGATCAGCAGTAAAGGGAGACGCTGCTCGGGCATTGAAAGCATTACCGATGTCAGATGAAAACTACACGGCCGCGTGGAAGCTCTTGTGCGAGCGTTACGAAGACACAAATGAATTAATCGATTTCCACGTCGGTGCATTGTTCGACTTGCCGACGTTGCCAAAGGACTCACCGGCGAGTCTGAGGCAACTTTTAGACGACTTTAACAACAATTTAAAATCCTTAACCTCGCTGGAGGAACCCGTCGAAAAATGGGACACGATCTTGGTCCATTTATTAGCGACCAAACTCGACCGGAAAACGAGCGAAGCGTGGGATAAACGGGTCGCGGAAATAGGCCGTAAGAAAACGTTGGCAGATTTACAGACATTTCTCGAAAAGCAGTACAAAATCCTAATAAAGTCAGTTCGAGTAATACCTCCGGGTCCGTTCCCTCCGAAAAATAGGAACCCAGGTCAGAAACCGCAACCTCACCCCATGACGCTGGTTAGCATGCAAAGTTTAGAATGCCCATTATGTTCGTCGGATCATCCTCTCACACAATGCAAACGGTTTAAAGCTTTGACTCCGTACGCTCGGTTTATGAAGGTCAAAGAATTCCGTATTTGTTTTAATTGCCTGCGACCAGGTCATGGTTCAAACACCTGCAACAAGGGGAATTGCCACAAATGCAACGGCAACCATCATACGTTGATTCATTTAAAAAATGACTCGACGCCTACCGTAGATCCCGTGGTTGCAGATCCCGTCGTTAGTATAGCAAATGCAGTAAATAATACGCCCCCTCAGAGTTATGCAACTCATGACTCGTCGGGAAAAGAGCATGTTCTTTTATCCACGGCTATTATACATGTCCTCAACGACAAGGGACAAAAATTTGAATGTAGGGCGTTACTCGACCAAGGCTCGCAAGTAAATATCATAAAAGAGTCATTTGCGAAATTTGTCGGCTTGAGTTGTAAACCGACCCAATTAGCGATCTCGGGGGTAGGGGCCGCGGACGCAGGTAAACGCGCTCAGGGTAAGGCTCGCGTTACAATACAATCGCGGCAAAACGGATATTCAACTACGATGTCATGCATACTGATGCAAAAGATCACTTCCGATATTCCCAATTTTAAAATCGCCAAATCAGCATTGAACATCCCTGCAAATGTCAGATTAGCAGATCCATCCTTTGACAAACCGCGTGATGTAGACATGCTAATAGGGAATGGGCATTTGTGGGAGATAATGAGCGTAGGACAGAAACGCCTGGGACAGGGTCTTCCGGTATTGCTCAAATCCCAGTTCGGATGGGTTTTCGGTGGGAAAATTCGGGCGTCGCTCAACGCGGAGTCGCAGTCGTGCAATGTAGTCACGAATGATCAATTAAATTCACAATTAACTCGATTTTGGGATATCGAACAAATCCCAACACTCGGTCACCTTCCAGCTCACCCGTGCGAGGAGCATTTTAATGAGACGGTAAAGCGAGACTCCGACGGCCGGTTTATTGTTACGATTCCGTTTAACTCGGACCTGGCAAAGCTCGGCGATTCATATTCCATGGCGGAGCGTAGGTTCTTCGGCTTGGAAAGAAAATTGAACAGGACACCTGTTCTGAAAGCAGAATACGTGTCTTTTATGAGCGAATACCTCGCACTGGGTCATATGACTCAGGTAAGTCGGGACTCTCGAACGCAGGCCGGTCCTGCCTATTACCTGCCACACCATGCGGTGACAAAGGCAGCAAGCACAACGACCAAGATGCGCGTTGTATTTGACGGATCCGCGAAAACCAGTTCCGGATATTCTTTAAATGATACTCAAGAGATCGGTCCTGTTGTTCAGGACGATCTATTTTCCATACTCATTAGATTCAGACAGCATCAGATTATTTTGAGCGCCGACATCGCCAAGATGTATCGGCAGATTTTAGTCGCTCCCGAGCAGCGAGTTTTTCAACGGATTCTATGGCGCGAAGAACCTACGCTCCCATTAGAAACGTACGAATTGAATACGGTTACATACGGCACTGCGTCCGCGCCGTTTTTAGCGACCTGCGTCCTTCGGCAAATTGGATTGGATCAGTCTCATCTAGATCCAGTAATAAGTAATATCATCATCCACGACTTCTACGTGGATGACTTGCTAACGGGCGCGGAAACAGTAGAACAAGCAATAGAAAATTAAAGTATCACTTGAGAAAATATTGCAATCTTCAGGCCTACCACTTAGAAAGTGGGCCTCAAATGTTCCGGCAGTGGTTCAAGAGGTTCTAACGGAATCCAGAGATCTGAATTTACAAGCAGAAAAGGACCCAAAGACTCTTGGACTACTGTGGGAACCATGCACCGATGAGTTGCGAGTCAGTGTAGAATCTCAACCAGTCTTACGGACTACGAAAAGAACAATTCTATCCGAAGTATCCAAAATTTTTGATCCGCTTGGGTTAGTGGCGCCTGTCATCATCCAGGCAAAACTAATTATACAGTCGCTATGGCAATTAAAACTCTCATGGGATGAATCCGTACCACAAGCGATTCATTCCGAGTTCCATGATTTTTATGCGGACCTCAGGTCATTAACACGGCTCGCAATTCCTCGGTGCGTATTGTGCCCGAATCCTGTGCAGGTAGAGATGCATGGGTTTTGCGATGCCTCCGAACGGGCATTTGGGGCGTGCATCTACCTGCGCACGATTTCAGAAACGGGCAAAGCATTGACACAGCTCCTCTGCGCAAAGACACGCGTGGCACCGCTTAAAACAATAAGCCTTCCTCGCTTGGAATTATGTGGGGCATTATTACTAGCGCAACTTGTGAATAAGGTTCGAGTAGCGTCCCGCAGTCAAAAGGTCCAAGAATTCTATTGGACCGATTCAATGATAGCACTAGCGTGGATCAAGGGGTCCCCGAACCGATGGAAAACCTTTGTAGCGAACAGGGTTTCTGAGATTCAAACACTTTCGACGGGACCATGGAACCACGTACTTTCTGGGGACAACCCAGCTGATTTATTGTCGCGGGGAGTCAAGCCTTCCGCTTTGGACAAGCTATCTTTTTGGTGGAACGGTCCATCATGGCTCGCACAGCCATCAACGGAATGGCCAATCACTGGGTCTATCCCAGCAGAAGTTCCTGAAGAAAGGGCCATTTCTTGTATTGTAATAAGGGAAATCGCATCCCAAGTACCGGGGTTCCTATTAAAATTCTCAAACTACACACGTTTGCTCCGTGTGATTGCGTACTGCTTAAAATTCTATCACACAGTAAAACATAGAGTGAGTCTTCGTAACAATCGCACCACTCGCCCGTGGAGCACTCAATTGACGGTGCAGGATCTTGATCTTGCAGAGGTAGTCATCCTCCGATTAGTACAAGGTAATGCATTTACGCAAGAACTGTCTGACTTGCGTAAAAACCAAACAGTGACATCCAATAGCCCGCTGCGGTCATTAAACCCATTTATTGACGACAAGGGGCTCATTAGGGTGGGCGGTAGGCTTGCCAATGCGGAGCTAAAATACTACCAACAACACCAAGTGATTCTACCGAAGAATCACCATGTCACGCGAATGATTATTCGTCGTGCACATGAACGCGTTTTACATGCCGGTTGCGAAACGGTATTATCAATGGTTCGAACGCGGTATTGGCCATTGACGGGACGCAATCTGACCAAGGGGATAATCCGAACCTGCGTTAAATGTAATAGAGCTGCGCCAAAGGGTACCAGCTACCTGATGGGGCAGTTGCCTGCACCGAGAATACGAATAAGACCGCCGTTCTTTTCTACCGGTGTCGATTACGCGGGTCCTTTCTACCTGAAAGAAAGGGTCCGTAGCAAGACGACGACTAAAGCCTACCTTTGCGTGTTTATTTGCTTAGCCACAAAGGCCGTCCATTTAGAAGTAGCTTCAGATTTATCGACGGATGCCTTTTTAAATGCGTTGAAACGGTTTGTTGCGCGAAGAGGCCGGTGTCGCGAAATATATTCAGACAACGGCACCAATTTTGTAGGAGCACGCAATGAAATGCAGAGAATCAAAGAGTTCTTTGCAGACCAAAAACGAAGGGATACCCTCTCTGAATTTACGGTCACTGAGGGTATGCAGTGGCATTTTATCCCACCATACTCTCCACATTTCGGGGGATTGTGGGAGAGCTGCGTGAAGTCCGCGAAACGGCTTTTGACTCGAGTCGTTGGGGAAACTCGGCTAACATTTGAAGAACTGGCCACTGTTCTGGCGCAGATAGAGGCGTGTTTGAATTCTCGGCCACTATGTCCTGTATCAACCGATCCCACAGATCTGAATCCCCTCACTCCTGGTCACTTCCTCACCGGCAGCCCACTCATGGACCTTCCATATCCTGACGTCACTGACGTCAAACCTACTCGTTTAAGTCGGTTTCAGCTACTCCAAGCAATGTCGCAGCACTTTTGGAAACGGTGGCAGTTGGAATACCTCCATCAGCTGCAACAGCGACATAAATGGAAAATCGCTGTACCAGAAGGATTCGGAGTGGGCACGATGGTCGTCATCAAAGACGCTAGTCTCCCTCCTCTAAGATGGAAACTAGGAAGAATCACGGCTCTACACCCAGGCACTGACCAGATCACCAGAGTCGTTTCCATCCGGACAGCCGATGGAGTCATAAAGCGACCTGTGGCAAAAATTTGCATTTTGCCTACGGAGGATGAAAGTTCATCCCCAAAGGATCAGCCTGGATCGAGTGTTAATCGTGACACAAAAAAAAAATGAATCCGCGGCAGCCGAGCCTGCATGTGTATAAACTTTCTCAATGTTAAGTGTAGTAGAATATTTAGATTTACGTTGCAAGATCATCAACCATTGTACCATTTGTAAATAGTAGCTTAGGATGCCTTGCAATCGAATTAGATATAGATATGTGTTAAACTAGTACACTACCACTGTTGTTTGTTCCATGTTTTTGGTATTTATTGATATTTCTTTTGAACGACAGCCGTTCAAGGTGGGCGGCATGTTCGGTAAACGAAAGCTCGCTCATTCCGCTGGCCAACTCGAGTTGTTTCCGGTCCTTTATGTTGCCAGATGCGGGATCGGTACTACGTTGCAAACGTCTTCGAGTCTCTCGCATCTGGCAAATGTCAATGTAAAAGAATAGCATTTTTGGAAAACGAAAGAAACGCGACACTCGAGTTGACCAGCGAAGGGCTATATTGTTCCGCGGGTGGTACGGTCGTCGAGGCCAAATGTAGGCACCGACGACAACGGCCATCGCCGACACGCGGAACAATATAGCCATAAAAACAGACGTAGACCAGACGCAACCCCTTGTTGCGTGGATAATCCGGAGTTCCGTTTCTTCCTCGATAAATTAACGCGGCCGTCGACTTGGGGAGGAAACCTCGGCCACCCTCGCCAGCGTGGCCTGGGACTTTCCTCCACCACCGAGGTGAAGGAGGAGCTTGCTGCCAAACTGGGGCAGGAAAATGGGTCCTCCTCTCCCAAGTCGATGGCCAATCAATCGACTCACGATTCCACAGAGGAATTTGCAAAACACCCCCAAGTGTACCTCTTGGAGGGGATCTAAGCTGAGGAGGAAACGGACTCCGGACACATTGGGCATTCTAGTTTCGTCACGACAAAGTTTCATTCTAGTTTCAGTCGTCAACCGACAAACCAGTTTCATTCTAGTTTCAGTCGTCAACCGACAAACCAGGTTCATTCTAGTTTCAGTCGTCAACCGACAAACCAGTTCATTCTAGTTTCAGTCGTCAACCGACAAACCAGTTTCAATTCTCGGTTCAGTCGTTAACCGACTAAGTCTAACAAGTCTAACTAACAAGTCTGTAACAGTACAGCAGTTTTACTTGAGTTGAACGCATTTTGATAAAGTAAGCGCGGGGGAAACAGTTCCTCCCACAGTTCAACGCGCTTGAAAACATTCATACAGTCCACTTTGTTATTATTAAAAATAAACCATTTGAAAACTCTCCAACACGACGACATCGCATCACTCCAATCCGACCAAACAATTCGGGCGCGAACACAAATAAAAAGACTGAAGAAATTATTATTTTTTAAAATCCTTACAACGGTATTATTAGGATATACTTTTACTATATGTAAGGGCCTTTAAAATTAGGGGATGTTTTTTGTTTAGCCCTGGTTTAGTTTGTACTTGACGTATGCAGACGAGATCGTTTTCTTTGAACATGATGGGATTATTTTTCCTGCCATAATGTTCTTTACTTTTGGTTTTTGAGTCTATTATTCCGTCGCGGGCTATCTTAAATGATGTGTTTAATCTATACTGTAGTGCTCTTACATAGTCATCATAGGTGTAGTGAAATTTCGGGTCCTGCGTAATAGATGAAGGTAAGTAGGGTTTGTAACCGAAAAGAAGCTGGTACGGAGTGTTTGTGGATTTATGTGTCGAAGTATTGTAACTGAATAACGCGAATGGAATATATTCGTTCCAATCAGTCTGATTTGGTTTGATGTAATGCTTAAGATAGTCTTTTAGTGTAAGGTGATATCTTTCTAAAGCTCCATTTGTTTGTGGATGGTAAGGAGTGGTGGATATATGCTTTGTTTTAAAGAGATTACTGAGATTTTTTATTAGTTCTGACATAAAGTCAGATCCTTGGTCAGAAAGGAAGGTTTTCGGAATTCCAAATAGCACGAAGATTTCAGTACTTGCAGAGATCATCTTGAGCAGTTAATATAAATCTATTTCCATGTTCGGTCAGGAGCAATGGGCCCACGATGTCGACAATATGTCGATTGCTAAACGATCGAATGGTTTTTCCGCTGTAGTGGTAATTTCCATTGGTTGTTTGGTCGGTTTGAAATGAGTTTTATTATCTGGCACGAATGACACGTTTATATATAGTTTCTAATATCTTCTTTCATGTTTGGCCAATCACATGATTCTTTTAACTTTGAATAAACTCTGTGAAACCCGCTATGCCCCGATAGTTTGCTATCATGGTTTTCTTTTAGTATCTGTTCTATTTCTTGATGGGTTTTGAGGGTAATTTTAGGGTTCTTAAAGAGTTTTATTTCGTTATTTGGAAAAATGAATGTAAGCATATCGGATAGTACTGGTGTTTTAATATTAGAGTGTTTTTCTGGAAGAACTAGGATGAATTTATTATCATTATTATAGCTTTTAGATTGTTGAAAGATTCGAACAAGTTTTTTATACTCGAGTTTATCAAAATGTAGATTCAGAGGAAATAGCAAATAAACCGAATGAGTCCCGTTTGTAAGCTTGCACACTCCGTTAATGTCAGGTTTAATATCTTGTGTGTCGAAGTTTGACGTTATGAAGTTTGAATGCTGGTTTTCCTCATCTAGGTCTTGAGACTATAGAAGAACCACAGGATCCCGGATTTTGGACAAGTGATCCCGTTTGCCAGTTTAATACAAAGTATGGGTTGGATCTTAAATTTTAAAAGGACATAGTCGAATATTTTTAAAGGTACAAAACATAGCGTTTCATTGTAGAACAGTAACATAAGTTAGCAGGTAATGTCATAAAACTGTTTTCCCCAGCTATATCCCTTTTTACCTGAAGTATAAGGTAAAAAGTACGAGCTACAAGGTACGACTATGAAATTCCGTGCGTATCGTGAATGCGAGTGCCATCGCGAGTATTTCAAGTAAAGTTTTTCGGTCGTTTAGCAGTGCATTAAGTGCAAATCAGTATCATCCGTACACGGGAGCGTGCAAGCTCCTGTGGTCATTCTCTCATAAGCATCTCGGTGCAACCTTTTCACCGAAATGTTCTCTGCAAAGAACACCCCCAATGTACAGCAACGTCGAAACTACGCCAACGTCCTCCAAAGTGACAGTTTCCCGAAGAAAGAACAAGCAATCGTAATTGAAGCCAAAGAGGGAATACAGATAAAGGATTACGACGTAGCCTTGGGAAAACTAACCAGCCCAAACAACATTCGATTTATATCGAGAATTTCTAATGGCAGAATTTGTGTATTCCTCGCTACCAAAGAAACCGCGGATAACATCACAGGTAAATACAATCATATTAAAATCGACAACACAGATCTCTATCTGAGACCGCTCATCAACAAATACCAACGCATCATACTTTCAAATGTTTAACCAACGATTCCACATGCAATAATGGAAGAATGTTTCGACGAGCTGGAAATCAAAAGAGAATCGGCCGTTTCCTTCCTAAGAGCTGGCATAACAGAAGAAGGCTACGCACACATACTTAGCTTCCGTCGGCAGGTTTACATACGCCCAGAAGACGTACACAAGGTACCAGAATCTATGAAAATAGAACACGATCAAACAACATACTGGGTGTACCCTTCTACCGAAGCAGTAAAATGCTTCATATGTAAGCAAGAAGGACATGTCGCCAAAAATTGTAAAAATAACGAAGACCGCCCAATGTGCAACGACACATCGAAAGGAACCCCCTCCGCCACTACTAAAGAAACGACTAAGATAGTTCCCCATACCAGCAACGCAAACGTCTCCCATGAACCAACAAGGGAAATGCAAAACAGAACAATGGAAAACATGGAAATACCACAAAACATGGAAATACCACAAAACATAGAAATAACACAAAATTTGGAAATACAGTGAAAACTCGATAAATGTCGCTACTCCGGGTCCGGTCAGCAACACTTACGGAATAGGAGAATCGTCTTTCGAATTTGATTGTAGTTTGCCGACGCTTCGAACGTAGAAAGAGTCAGTAGCTAAAGAAGAAAGAGGGACTGAAACTCGGATTTATCGCCCCAATTTAAATATCCGCGTCAGTGTGACTACACTACTGCACAGAAGAAAGTTTTTTATTTTTTTAGTTTTTGTTAATAAAAATTTCACTATCATGTTTGGGAGATTTCTCTGATTAAAATGAGGCTAAACACGATATAAATCGGTCAATATTTGGTAGCATAATATTGAATTAAATATTGTACTTGCGAGTCTTTCTCTCTTTATTTATCCTTCTTGTGCTGTCCTTTTCTATGTTCGGAAATATCAAAGAACGACGCATCGAGGTGCTGGCTACATTTATCGAACGGGAGGTAGCTATTTTCAAACGGAACGGTTTCCACCGTTTCGTAAGTGATCAAAAACTGCAACACTTATGAAATAGGGGGTTTCGTTAGCTACCACTGTTCGATAAATGTACCAATCCACTGACCTTGCGAAGATATGAGTACACAATATTTAATTCAATATTATGGTAACAAATATTGGCCGATTTATATCGTGTTTAGTCTCATTTTAATTAGAAAAATCTTCCCCACATGATAGTAAAATTTTTATTAAAAAAAAGTAAAAAATAAAAACTTTCTTCTTGTACAGTAGTGTGGTCACACTGACAGGGACATTTAAACTAAGATGACGAAGGCAATAAAGATTTTTAAAGAAAGCCGCTACGACTCCGGTTACACTTCGCCTCACTGGTTCAAGGGGGATCCCCCTAGTGGTGGGGATAAAAATGTATCATTTATGGAACAGCTCTTGAGGACATTTATCGAGTTTTCACTGTAGTACAAAACATGGAAACAGACCAAACTCCTACGTCATTAAAACGTACCCGTGAGGAAATGACTGACACTTCTAGCAGCACCACCAACGATATGATGAAGGAGTCAGTTTGTAAACCGCCAAAGAAAAAAACTATCAATTCAGACCCTACGATCAAAAATCTAGATGCTATGCTAGATCCCATAAAACATATGCTGGATGAACCAGGTAAATTGTTAAACTACAATCAGCTT